GCGGGGCCCCGGGCCGGAGCTCCGCGCCCGGGGGGCTCCGCGGGGGCTTCCGCGCCGTGTCCCGCGCCGGGAGCGCCCCGGGCCGCGGCTCCAAGGTGGCCGGAGCCGTCGCGGCCGGGGCGGCGGCGGGGTACGGCATGGGGCTGCTGGGGCGCCCGCGGCCCGCCCGCCTGGGGCACGGCGTGCCCGCGGCCCGGCAGCCCCCGGCCGGGTTCCACGGGGCGTGGCCCGAGCTGGGCGCGAAGCGGGGAGCCCCCAGCGGAGCCCCCGGGCCGCGGAGAGCCGGGCTGGGGCTGGTGCTGCTGCTGGCATCGGGAGCGTGCGTGGTGAGCCACGGGATGCAGCGCTGAGGGCACCGCGGGCATCCCCGGGCGGGGTTTCGGACTGAAGCGACTTTCAAGTGACTTTCCTGGGAGATTGGATGTGGCTTGGGGAGGTGGGAGAGGCGCTCCGGAGATGGGGGCGCAGCGGGAGCCGGACCCTGCGAGCTCCGGCCGGGATCGGGTGGATCCTGCGAACACCAGCTGGGATCGGGTGGGTCCTACAAACCCCAGCCGGGACCAGGTGGCTCCTGAGAACCCTCCCGGGACCGGAGAGATTCTGCAAATCCACCCGGAACCGATGGATCCTGCGAGCTCAGCCGGGACCAGGTGGGTCCTGCAAACCCCACCAGGGACCGGGTGGCTCCTGAGAACCCACCCGAGACCAGAGGGATCCTGCAAATCCCCCCGGCACTGGAGAGATTCTGAGAACCCACCTGGGACCGTAGGGATCCTGTAAATCCCACCTGAGACCGGAGGGATCCTGCAAATCCACTCGGGACTGGACGGATCCTGCAAACCCCACCTGAGACTGGAGGGATCCTGCAAATCCACCTGGAAACGATGGATCCTGCGAGCCCACCCAGGATCGGATGGATCCTGTGAACCCACCCGGGACCAGAGGGATCCTGCAAATCCACTCGAGACCAGATGAATCCTGCAAACCCACCCCGGGATCGGGTGGATCCCACCCGGGACAGGACCTGCGTGAGCACGGGCAGCCCTGCCGGCACCTGCGGAGCTCGGCCCCCGCAGCCATCCCCGCTGCACGGCTGCCCCAAAACCCGCTCCTTTCCCCCCAAAAGAGCGCTGGGACTCGCGGGGAGGGGGGCGTGGGGCTGGGAACCCGAGGCCTCGGCCTCGCAATAAAGTTTGGCCTTGAGACGTGCTCTGGTTTTGACCAAATCCATCGTTCCTAGCGCTGGGATGTGTGACCGTGTTCACAGGGGTCCGAGGATGAGGGAAGAGATGAAGATCTGACTCCTTTCAGAAGGCGTGATTTATTATTTTATGGTATATGTTACATTAAAACTATACTAAAAGAATAGAAGAAAAGGTTTCATCAGAAGGCTGGCTAAGAATAGAAAAAGAAAGATAACAAAGGTTTGTGGCTTGGACTCTGTAATTCTATTCTATTCTATTCTATTCTATTCTATTCTATTCTATTCTATTCCATTCCATTCCATTCCATTCCATTCTATTCTATTCTATTCTATTCTATTCCATTCCATTCCATTCCATTCTATTCTATTCCATTCTATTCCATTCCATTCCATTCCATTCCATTCCATTCCATTCTATTCACAGCTGACTGTGATTGGCCATTAATTAGAAACAACCACACGAGCCCAATCACAGATGCACCTGTCGCATTCCACAGCAGCAAATAATCAATATTCGCATTTTATTCCTGAGGCCTCTCAGCTTCTCAGGAGGAAAAACCCTAAAAAAAGGATTTTCCATAAAAGACGTCTGTGCCAGGGACGGGAATCTCTGATGGGGATGCGCTTCCACAGGTGGGTGGAGGAGCCAAATCCAGGCATTTCCCAGCCGCACAAAGCCCAGCCGGGGTTTGGAGCGGATTTTTTGGCTTTTCAGCCCAAATTCAGCCGTGTAAAGCCAAGCTCGGACGGGAGATGGAGCTGTTGGCCCGGGATAAAACCAGGCTGAGATCCGGGCTCCTCTAAACCCGGCTGCTCCTCCTCCGGCTCTCTGCTAACCGGGCGGCCGTGCACCAAAATTCCTCCTTTTACGGCCTTTTCCAGGCAGGAAAAACGTATTCAGCTGGGTGGGGTGTTTATTTGGGGAGATGGGGGGTGCCAAGGGCTGTGGGATGAGAGATTTGGAGAAAACTCTAAAAAACCCTCAGATTTTATTGTATTTATATTTTTGGGGGGGGTATTTACATTTTGAGGTGGGTATTTACACTTTGGGGTGTATTTGGGAGATACCAAGATCTGTGTCATGAGATATTTGGCGAAAACTCAAAAAAACCCCTCAGATTTTATTGTATTTATATTTGGGGGGGGGGGTATTTACATTTTGGGGTGTATTTGGGGGATGCTAAGAGCTGTGTGAGGAGAAATTTGGAGAAGACCCTAAAAAAAACACCTCAGATTTTATTGTACTTACACTTTGGGGGGTATTTATGCTTTGGGGGGTATTTACACTTTAGGGGGTATTTAAATTTTGGGGGGGTATTTACACTTTAGGGGGTATTTACATTGGGGGGGGTATTTATACTTATTTTGGGAGGAATTTACACTTTTTGGGGTATTTACATTTTGGGGGAATATTTACACATTTTGGGGGGCATTTAGACTTTGGGGGGATATTTATACTTGTTTTGGGGGGTATTTACACTTTGGTGTGCATTTACACTTTTGGGCTATTTACATTTTGGGGTGTATTTATTGCCATCCTGGTAAATCAGAAACTCCTCCATGCCTGGCTCCTGTGCATGCTACAGGATTTGGAGTTTTTAGCTCATTAATTAATTAATTAATTAATTAATTTCTCTGCTTCAGCAGAGGTGTAATGTGATCCAGCTGTCCTTAAAGGACACAAGAGTTCGGGCTGTGTCACCCCACTTGGGTGTTGCCAGAGCCAGGAAAGTTCTGACCTTCCAAAAACCACCCCAAACCCCTGTGGAGGGTTAAAAACCAGAGCGTTGCGTGTGCAGGGTGGGGAAAAATGTTATTTTTGAGCATTGCCAATGTGTTTCCCATGACTGGGAGGGAGGGAATTGAAGGTTTTGGGGTTAAAAATGAGAAATTTGTAATTGTGCTGCTGCTGAGGTCAAACCCTCCCTAGGGGAGTTCAGCAAGTTCTGGGAGCCTCTTCCTGGAAATATCCACGAGTTCATCTCGGGAAATAGGGGATTTTAAAATCCATTCTTTTATTCCCTTCCTTTGGATGAGGCGAAGTTTTCTCCTTCCTGATTTGGGGGGAATTTCTCCTCCAATTTGGGGCTGTTGGAGGAGGGGCCCTGCGGTTGCGAAATGCAAATAAATGGAAATAAATCCCATTGAGGCCGATTTGCATCTGCTCAGGTGAGACCTCACCTGCAGGGCTGGGAGCCCACCTGGAGATGGGAAATTCCAGGGAGAGCTGGGAATGTTCACCTGGAGAAGGGAAATGCCAGGGAGAGCTGGGAATGTTCACCTGGAGAAGGGAATGACCCAGGGAGAGCTTCCAGCACATTCCAGGCCTTGCAGGGGCTCCAGGAAAGCTGGGGAGGGATTTGGGACAAGGGATGGATGGGCAGGACACTGGGAATGTGTAAAGAGAGATTTAAATGGGATTTTGGGATGGAATTCCCAGAGCAGCCAGGGCTGCTCCATCCCTGGATGTGCCCAAGGCCAGGCTGGAGCACCTGGCACAGTGGGAATCGTCCCTGCCCACGGCAGGGGTGGCACTGGGTGGGATTTGAGGTCCCTCCCAACCCAAATCACTCCAGGATTCCACAACGAAGCCTCCAGGATGGAGCAGGGCTCGGCTCGGGCTCGACGCCAGCGAAACAGCGAATGTAAAAACTCCTTTATTAGCACAGAAACCGGAATGAGACAGAAATTAGAAAACAACTCTTGGGCTGCAGCGAGACCATGGGTGGGAGGAGAAGAGGTTAACTGGGAATGCGGGGTTTGGGCCAAATTGGAGCTGGAAGGGAACAAAAGCTCCCTCAGGGCAGGGAGGGAGGATGGGGAGGGCGGAAACGCAGAAATGCGGGAAATGCAGAAATGAGGGAAATGCAGAAATGCGGGAAATGCAGAAATGAGGGAAATGCAGAAATGCGGGAAATGCAGAAATGCGGGAAATTCCGGCACACAAAGGAGGCTGCCGGGCACCTTGGCTTGATCCTGTTTTAATTTGTACCAGACGTGGAACACTTAGAAAAGGCTCAGCACGGCAAATCCCGGGCATGCAGCGTGATGACGGGGTTACAAAACATCCGCGCGTCGCCAAGGACGGGGCGCCTCAAAGCCCTGCTTTGGCTGTCCTGGAAGGTTTCTCTCTGTTTATACGTATTTATATATAATATATATATCTTCACTTAGCTTACACCGATGCAAAAAAGGAAAAAAATAATTAAAAAAAAAAATCTCATTTAGGACAGTGTTATTCAGTGCCTTGCAAAAATAAAATCACACGAGGGATATCGAACGCAGCGCCACGGGTGTTACAGCTCGCCCCCAGCCCAGCATCCACAGAGAAGCAAGAATTAACAATTCCACCCGTTGCTTCCACAGGGCAAAGGAATTACTCACAAAAGTGATTTTTTTTTTAGCATTTCCCTTTCGCAGGCCCGTTTTTCCCGATGCTGTTTGCTGTACCGGCGTGGTTCAGCTGCTTTCAGTCTCTCGCTACGTGCCTGACCCCCTGAGAATCCTTTGTGCTGCATTTTAACGTCCTTTGGGCCCACGTGCTGAAGCACGAGCACGGCTTGTCACCTGGAGCACCCAAACTGGCTTTTTCTGGGGCTGTAACACCGTTTTGGGGGTGTTTGGGGCATTCAGCAGCACTTTCTGCCTCCAAACACCGACCAGTGCCCCAGCCCCGCTGTGACAGGGAGTACAAAATGATTTATTTGGGTGTCTTGCTGCAGGGGGTTTGTGCAGCATGCAGGGTGTGCAGTGGCAGCTCCTTATGTACACGGGGAAGGGGCTTTTTTTTTGGGGGGGTGGAAGGGTTCAAATTGCAACTTGGCAGCTTGAGAACCCCAGGGGTACCCCAGGGAATGGGGGTGACGGGGGGTGAGACAAATCCCTGCCTGTTAACGAAGAGGATTTTTGGAAAAGCTCCTGCAGGGACGCCAAGGGGAGCTCCCCTCCGCCCGGTCCCTCTCGGGGCGACCCCGAGGAGGAGGATGAGGAGGCGAAGGCCGCGGTTCTGCGCTCCAGCACCATCCCGGAGCCATTTTTGGGGCAGAAAACGACATTTTCATCCCACCGCCTGAACCCCGAGGCGCCGCGATCACGCCGGGGGGCTCCTCACCAAAACCGAGCGGGACCGGGGCGGGCGTGGGGACCCCGCGGGGGACACCCGGGCCGCACGGGCCGCCCTAGTGCAGGACGACGAGGACGAGGAGCAGCAGGGTGGCCAGCGGGGAGTCGGCCAGGCGCTGCCACGCGCCCGAGGCCAGCCGGTACTCCTGGTACTGCTGGATGCACATCTCGCGGATCACCTTGGTCACCACGCGCGTCTCCAGCTCCGCCTCCGTCTGGTTGAGGGCGTCCGAGGCGTTGCCCTTCCTGGCGGCCGGGCCGATGTTGTGCTCGGTGACGGTGATGTTGAAGCAGTCGGCCACGAAGACGTCCTGCGGCACGGGGCCGCGCTGGTCGCGGTAGTCGCGGTAGTAGACCTGGTTGGGGTAGCGCGCGGCGTTCTCGTTCCACCAGCGGTACTCGTCGGGGCTGTCGAAGCGGTAGTGCATGCCCGACATCACCCTGCCCATGGCGTAGCCCCCCAGGCCCCCCACCACGGCGCCCGCCGCCGCCGCGCCCGCCACGTGCTTGAAGTTGGTCTTGGGCTTGGGCGCCTTCCAGGGCTTCTGGTGGTAAGTCCCTCCGCTGGACGGGTTGTAGCCTTGGCCCCAGCCCGGGTAGCCGGGGTTGTGGGGGTAGCCGGGGTTGTGGGGGTAGCCCGGGTTGTGGGGGTAGCCGGGGTTGTGGGGGTAGCCCGGGTTTTGGGGGTAGCCGGGCTGGCGGGGGTAGCCGGACTGGCGGCCGCCCCCGCCCCAGCCGGGTTTGCCTTTGCCCTTCTTGGAGGAGGCGACGTCGGCGCAGAGCCCCAGGAGCAGCAGCAGCAGCAGGCAGGAGGTGCCGAGGAGCCGGGCCATGGCTGCGGGGACAAGGACAGAGTCAGGGCAGGGCCGCGCTCCCAGCCGGGGCAGCCCTGCCTCGCCCGTGGGGCACAACAAACACAAACACGGCCGGTCCCCCCAAATCCAGCTGCAGAATGAACAGCGTTGGACTAAAGGTATTCATCATCCCCCCAAACCCTTCATTTATACGTAAATGTAAAATATTTTATATATTTTTATACATATATGTGGGTGTTTATATATATATATATGTACTTATATGTATACATATTCTTTTTATATATGTATATATATAAATACATATATTTTATATATGTATTTTAATATATGTATATGTATGTATTTTTATATATGTATATATATGTATTTTTATATCTGTATATATATGTATTTTATATATGTATATAAAAAAATTTATTCATTATATGTATATATTTTATTTATTATTGTATTATTGTATTTATATTTACTACTTTTGTCTGATATATGCTCATTTTATTTTTATCTATTTTTATATATTTACATATATGCATATATATGTATATATTTTTATATATGTCTATATGTATTTTAAATATATTTTAAATATGTATTTATATTTTAGTGTATGTATATAAAAAATATATATATACATGTATTTATCTATTTTATATATGTGGAAATGTATGTATTTTTTATAATTTTATATATATATATTTTTTATATATATATATATATATATATATATATATATATATATATATGTATGTATTAATTTTTTTTTTTTTTTAATATATTCCCCAACAGGACCCCTGCTGGCAATGGCAGTTTTAAGTGATTAAACAAAAGCTTTTACAAGCAAATGCTTCACGTGATTTTGAGGTAAAACCCCGCTTATCAATCCCGCCCTACCCAGCCTGGGGGCAGAAATGAGATCCCCGCTGTGCCACCCTCGATGCCAAGGGGCACTCGGTGCTGCAGGGAAGGCAGCGCCCAGCCTGGCCCCGGGGGATTCCTTTCCCAAATTCTGCCGTGCTTTACCCAAATTCCCGTTCATTAATGGGTATTTTTGGGATTCAGAGTTTCCCAGCATCCAGTGACTCACTGAATGCTGCTGGCATTCCGGGCATCTCCCACACTGCCCGGGGGATAAATCCCATTTCCAGGGGGCATAAATCCCATTTCCAGGGGGCATAAATCCCATTTCCCCCATTTCCAGGGGGGATAAATCCCATTTCCTCCATTTCCAGGGGGGATAAATCCCATTTCCAGGGGGATAAATCCCATTTCCCCCATTTCCAGGAGGGATAAATCCCATTTCCCCCCCCCCCCCCGCCGTGTGCATAATCCGGCCAGGACAAGGGACAATCCCCACCGGGGCTGCAAATCCTTTGGAAAACACCTCAAAGACCAAAAAAACAAAAAGGCCAAGCTGCCAAAACCCGCTAATGCCTCCTGGCAATGCCAAGGGCTCTGAGTCACTGCTGCCGTGGGTTTAAGGTTAAAAAAGGGATTTTCCATCCTGCCCCCCAAAATCTCCCCTCGCTGCTGGGGAGGGCGAGAGGAGCATCCTCTGTGTGGGTGGGTGTGTCAGCATCCCTGGATACAGCAAGAAATAATTCAGTTTGGGCCCCAACTTTATTTTTTTGCAGAAATTACGGAGCTACCCCAGGAATAATCTTAATGCGGGAATGAGATGCTGAACTTTCCTACAGCCACAAAGGGCAAACCCTGTTCAAGCCAGAAATTCTCCTGTTGCCACCTGGACAAGGATTTGTGGGCCAGAAAAGCAAATTCATCCTTTTGGGTTCATTAGTGATGCTTTTTCTGCCAAAAATCTGGGTTTATGCCCAGAAATGTTTGAATTGAAGGCCCTTCAAGCTCAGTGGTTTGGGTGGGATCGTTGGCAAGGCCCAAAATGAAAACTCAGGGGGATGCACAGATCTGTCTCTGATGATGGGCAGCAATTCCAGGTTTGGGATTTGCAGTTCCAGGTTTGGGATTTGCTCATGCCTGGTGATGGGCAGCAGTTCCAGGTTTGGGATTTGCAATTCCAGATTTGGGATTTAGAATTCCACCTTTGGGATTTGGATTTGCTCGTCCCTGGTGATGGGCAGCAATTCCAGATTTGGGATTTGGAATTCCAGGTCTGGGATTCGGAATTCCAGGTTTGGGATTTGCTCATCCCTGGGGATTCCAGGTTTGGGATTTGCTTTTCCCTGGTGATGGGCAGCAATTCCAGGTTTGGGATTTGCAATTCCAGGTTTGAGATTCGCTCTTCCCTGGGAATTCCAGGTTTGGGATTTGGAATTTCAGGTTTGGGATTTGGAATTTCATGCTTGGGATTTGGATTTGCTCGTCCCTGGTGATGGGCAGCAGTTCCAGGTCTGGGATTTGCAATTCCAGCTTTGGGATTTGCTTTTCCCTGGGGCAGGAATTCCAGGTTTGGGATTTGTCAGTCCCAGGTTTGGGATTTGCTTGTCCCTGGGGGTGAGAAGCAATTCCAGGTTTGGGATTTGCTCATCCCTGGTGATGGGCAGCAACTCCAGGTTTGGGATTTGGAATCCCAGGTCTGGGATTTGTCAGTCCCTGGGATTTGCTCGTTCATGGTGATGGGCAGCAATTCCAGGCCTGGGATTTGCAATTCCAGGTGTGGGATTTGCAGTTCCAGGTCTGGGATTTGCCCATCCCTGGTGATGGGCAGCAATTCCAGGCCTGGGATTTGCAGTTCCAGGTCTGGGATTTGCAGTTCCAGGTCTGGGATTTGCTCGTCCCTGGTGATGGGCAGCAGTTCCGGGTCTGGGATTTGCAGTTCCAGGTCTGGGATTTGCAATTCCAGGTCTGGGATTTGCCCTTCCCTGGTGATGGGCAGCAGTTCCAGGTCTGGGATTTGCAGTTCCAGGTCTGGGATTTGCTCGTCCCTGGTGATGGGCAGCAATTCCAGGTCTGGGATTTGCAGTTCCAGGTGTGGGATTTGCAGTTCCAGGTCTGGGATTTGCTCCTCCATGGACAATCCCGGCCTCAAGGAGCGGGCTGGGGCTCGCTGCCTCCCTCACCCTGCAGCACCCACCCGCTGGGGGCAGGGATGAGATCAGGGGGGTTAAAAATAGCCAAAAGGCAGGGAAAACAACCGGCTCCTTGGGTGCTCGGCAAAATGGGCAGCGGAGGAGGAAAATCCACAGAATTGGGCATTTTTCAAATATATTTTTGGAGGCGTCGCTCCCCGCTCTGAGCTCCGAGGGGTTAAAAACCAGGCCCTGGTTAAATTAAAAATTTAAAACCCTGGTTGGAGAGGGGTTCTGGCAAAGCTCTGCCATGGTTTTATTGAGGAAATCGCGGGGTTTGAGGCTGATTCAGGGATCCTGCTCCTCTAATTGCCTTCAGAGCGCTGATAAACAGGATACGGCGCTAATTAGCGAGCCAGGAGCTTCGCCCCAAATAAATGAGTTCCCTGGCCAAATCCCTGAAGGAGCTGCTTGCTGAGAATCCGGGATTTTCTCCCTTTAAAATCCCAGATTTCTCTCGGAGAAGAGAAACGCGGAGCTGGGATCTCTGTGCTCGGGAATTCTATTTATGGCCTGACCATGACATTAATATTGAATTACACATCGAGTGATTTCACTGGGATTTTTTTTTTATTTTATTTTTAACCTTTCTGGCCCAGATTCGCCTTCTCGGCGGACGCTGGAAATGACGAATTAATTCAGGTGGTTTGTGGCGGAGCCGATTTTTCTCCGCGCCGGAGGAACCCAGCGGAAAATGGAGGCTGCAAGCAGCAATTACGTGCTCGGCGTTGGCAAGGAGGAGGATTCGCTTCGGAGGGGAAAAACCAACACCCAGGTGCCAAAACACGCCTGGAATAACCTTGGGAAGGTCCCCGGGGAGGCGGAGGAGGAGAGGAGGGAGGTGGGGATGGGAGGATGCTCGGGGATGGGGGAGTCCGGACCCTCATGGGCTCAAAATCCCGGCCTGGGGCTCTGGAAATTTTAATTAAATCGGAATTTCTCTGAAAATATCACCCCTGGGTTTAGAGATCTCCCCTCACCCCTTTGTCTTTCTCAAAAAAAGGGGGAGCAGCTGGTGGGTGGGAGAAAAGCCAAAACCCTCGGAGGAGAAATTCCCGATGTTGAGTAACCGCTGAGTAAACCAGAGCCGGGCAGGAGCGGGGCGCTGGCTTGTAAGGAACCGCTGGAAATGTCAATTTTTCACGGGGAAAAGAGGCAGCCCCGCACTCCCGGCGTTCAAACCCCCCTCGCCCCGGGGTTCGTCCCGCCCGCATCCCCTCCATCCCGGTTTCCCCGGTACTCACCGGCTGCAAACGGCGCTGCCCGCCCGCCCCGAGCTGATTCAGCCGCGGAGCTCCGCGCAGGAATAAATAGCGAGAGGGAGGAGCCGCTCCGAGCAGCCCGGCCCCGCTGAGCCCTCACCCATCATCATCGTCGTCATCGTCATCCTTCATCCTTCATCCGGCATCCGTCCCCGGGGAAAAGCCGGGGCCGCGCCCCGAAACCGCGGCTGCGCCCCGAAGCATCCCCGGGGCACGGGGAGCAAAGGAGAGCCTGAAAATCGAGGGGGGGTCGTGGTTTGATTGGAGAAATGTCAGGGTTTGAGGGTGGTGAAAAAACCCCGGCAAACTGCAGAACGCGGATGGTTTTGTTGGAGAATTATCAGGGTTTGAGGCTGGTGATAAAACCCTGGAAAACCTCAGAACATGGATGGTTTTATGGAAGAATTATCAGGGTTTGAGGCTGGTTATAAAATCTTGGAATACTGCAGCATTTGGATTTTATACTGAAGAAATATCAGGGCTTGGGGCTGATTTAAAAATCTTGTGAAACCTCAGCACCTGGAGGATTTTATTGAAGAATTATCAGGGTTTGAGGCTGGTGATAAAATCTTGGAATATTGCAAAACATGGATGGTTTTATTGAAGAAATATCAGGGTTTGGGGTTGATATAAAACCCTGGAAAACTGCGACCCATGGATGGTTTTATGGAGGAATTATCAGGGTTTGAGGCTGGTTATAAAATCAAACTGCAGAACGCGGATGGTTTTATTGGAGAAATATCAGGGTTTGAGGCTGGTGGTAAAACCCTGGAAAACCTCAGAACATGGATGGTTTTATTGAAGAAATATTAGGGTTTGAGGCTGGTTATAAAATCTTGGAACATTGCAGCATTTGGATTTTATACTGAGGAAATATCAGGGCTTGGGCAGATTTTAAAATCTTGGAAAACCTCAGCACCTGGATGGTTTTGTGGAAGAATTATCAGGGTTTGAGGCTGATTTGAAAATCCTGGAATATCGCAGCGTTTGGATTCCATACTGAAGGGATGTCAAGGCTTGGAAAATCCTGGGAAATCGCAGCATCTTGGTGGTTTATTGAAGAAATACCGAATGGAATGAGGAGGTTTGGGGCCGTTTTGGGAATCTTGGAGAATCACAACACTTGGATTTTTTTAAATGGAAGAAACTCCAGGGTTTGGGGCGGGTTGGAAATCTCCTGGTTGGGAATCTGGGAGAGGCCAGGATGCTTTTAGCAGCTGCTTTTAGCAGCTCCAGATCCATTATCCCCTGGAGCAGAGCTGCTCCCAGGGCTGGTGAATTGGAAATCAAACCAGGGAGAAAAGATGGGTTTGCCTTTCAAAGCTGTGTCCAAGCAGAGGAGCAGAACTCACTCCTGCAACTCAATTTGTGACGAGGAATCCTGAAATTCAGTGTGAGGAAATGCCACAGAAAACAACTAAAAATCCCACGGGATGGCAAAAATGGGGGTTTTTTAGAGGGTAAGGACACAAGAGTGGAATATGCAGAGACAAGAATGGGAGAGTTTCCCGATTTTTAGGGTTTTCCCAATTTTTAGGGTTTTCCCAATTTTTAGGGTTTCCCAGGGCCAGCACCCTGGGACAATGGGAGGTGTCCCTGCCACGGGTGAGTTTTAAGGTCCCTTCCAACCCAAATCCCAGGATTTTATGATTTTCACACCTCCCAAACGCTCCTGAGGCTGCCCAGAACAGCTGGGCCAGGAATGACCATCCTGGGCCACATCTGGATGGAAAAGGGATTTTCCTGTGACCCACCTGGGTAATGTTGAAATGAATTAAATTAAAGTGGTTTCTCCCTGTAACACAAATGTTAGTCCAGCCAGGAGAGAGTGAAATCAGCAGGACTGAGGGCTGTGGGGCTGGGGAAGCCCTGCCTGCAGGAGGAGTTTATTCTGTGTGTGCAATGGCTCCTGCCTGCCTGCTTTGGGTCCAAATATTCACCCAAATTCCATGCCAGGAAAAGGAGCAAACCAGGAATGGGCTGGTTGGGCGGAATGAATCCTGCATTAATCCAAAAACCAGGGGTTTACTATAATAATAACTTATCCCAGGAGAACAGCAACAACAACAACAAGGGAAAGTTATTTATCTTGAAAAGAACGTTTACTGAAAGCAGCGCTGCGGCTAACGCTGAAAAATAAACCAATTTTTATTTTCGAGCAGCAGAAATTCTGTTTGCAGAAACAGAGCCACTGCTCGTCAATCAGCAGCACGGATCGTTAATGAATTTTTAATTCCTGGTGGAAGCCGTCAGGGCTGAGGCCTCCCCGCCAGCGCATCCAGGGCAGATTTTTAATGGATTTTTGGCATCCCAGGGTCAAATTCCTCTCAGGCTCGGGGCAGGAGCTGCAGCTCCTCGGGATCCTGGTGGAAACGGTGCCCCAGGCCCCGGGCCAGCCCAGCAATCGTTCCTGGGATGGGTTTTGCTCAGGAAATGCTGACTGTGGGTCTGGGGAGGGAGGAAGGTTCATCTCCTTCATGGGCACTCGTGGATTGATTTCGTGTTGCTTTTTATGGCTTGGGTTCATTGGAGATGATTTATTCAGCCAGCCCTGGCTGTGCAAAGGCTGGTGGATATTTAACCCACTGGGGTTAAAATCTTCCTCCATTGGGGTTAAAAAGGGTCGTTTATTTGGGTTAAAATGTTCATCCATTGGGGTTAAAAATGTTCATCCATTGGGGTTTAAAATGTTCATTTATTGGGGTTAAAATGCCCATCCATTGGGGTTTAAAATGTTCATCCATTGGGGTTAAAATGTTCATCCATTTGGGTTAAAATGTTCATTTATTTGGGTTAAAATGTTCATCCATTTGGGTTAAAAATGTTCACTTATTTGGGTTAAAACGTTCATCCATGGGGTTAAAAATGTTCATTTATTTGGGTTAAAATGTCCATCCATTGGGGTTAAAAATGTTCATTTATTGGGGTTTAAATATTCATCCATGGGGTTATAAATGTGCATCCATTGGGGCTGTGATTATTTTAGGGTTAGGAATCTTTATCCACAGGGTTATAAATGTGCATCCATTGGGGCTGTGATTATTTTAGGGTTAGGAATCTTTATCCACAGGGTTATAAATGTCCCTGGAGCTGCTCCAAGCTGCTTAGGGCCGTGCTGAGCCCTGGGTAAGCTCCTTACCCGGTGGTGCCACATCCAGGCCTGGCATCACCTGCGTGGGGCGCAGCCCCAAAAAATTCATTTTGGTCCCTCCAGCATCACCAGGGCGCTGGGAGGTAAAATAGCAGATTTTATTTAAAAAATACAGCATTAAAATGCTCGTTTGGGGGAAAAAAATTGAATTTAGGGACAAAAATTGGTAATAAAAGTGCTTTGAAATAGGGGGAAATTGAGTTTTTGAGGCTTTCATTAAAAAAAAAAGCTAAAATGCTCGTTTGGGGGAAAATTAATTTATGAGTAAAAATTGGCAATAAATGTGCTTTGAAATGGGGGAGATATTGAGTTTTTGAGGCTCTATCTTATCAACTTGAAAAACCGAGTTTTTGAGGCCTTTATTAAAAAAAACCAAAACGTTTAAATCCTCGTTTGGAGAAAAAATTAATTTAGGAACAAAATTTGGTCATGAAAGCGCTCTGAAGTGGGGGAAAATTAATTAATTTAGGGACAAAACCTGCTAATAAAAGTGCTCTGAAATGAAAGGAAAAATGAATTTTGGAACAAAGATTGGCAATAACATTGCTCTGAAATGGGGGGAAAATGAATTTTGGAACAAAAACTGGCAATAAAATTGCTCTGAAATTGGGGGGGGATGAATTTAGGAAGAAAAACTGGTAATAAAAGTGCTCTGAAACGGGAGGGAAAAAATGAATTTTGGAACAAAAATTGGAACTAAAAGTGCTCAGAAATGGGGGAAAAAAGAGGTTTTGAGGCCCTTTCTGGATGAATGGCTGGGAGCTGGAGCAGCCCGTCCTTGTTTGCTGCTCCAGCTCCAGCCCAGCACTGGAGACAAAAATAAAATAAAATAAAAATAAAAATAACCCAGCAGCGCCTGGGAACAACAACCCCGACAATTCCCTGCCGTGCCTGGCAAGAGCTCCCGGGAAATAAAGGCTCCTTGTGCTGAGAAATCTCCTTTTTCCTGCTGGAACAGAACCCAGAGCAAAGCTCGGGAGCGAAGCCGTTCCAGAAACGCCGGAATTCCCAGAAACTGCCCCCAAATTCCGTCACCCTTGGCAGGAAAATGGGAATTTTCCTCCTCGGAGCAGGCGTGACTCACAGGGAGAATTTTCCTTTTCTTCCTCCCGGTTTTTGGGTTTGTCGCGACCTGGAAGGGACCCGGGCGAGGTCAGAGCCCCGAAATGTCCCGGATGGGCCCGGGAGCTCCCGGGGCTGCCCGTGAGTCGCGGAAATTCAGATTTGAAATCCCGGGCGGGGAATTCTCCGTGCTTTCCTGGCTGGAAAAGGGCAGGAAAAATCAGATTTCCCATTTAGAAAATGGGTTTTGAAGTGAGCTGGGGAAAGCTGGACCCCCCCCCCAAAAAAATGCAAATTGTAATTTAATTTTTTTTTTTTTTTAAGTCAAGAGATAGACTGAAACAGAGAAATCATTTTTAAAAGTGAGTAATAATTTTAATGAATTTTTTAAATGAGTTAGATAATAAGAGAAATAATTTTACAACTAAATAATACTTTTAAAATAAGTTAATTAATTCATTAATTTAAAATAAATTAAATAATAGGAGAAATAATTTTAAAACTAAATAATAATTTTAAAAAATAAGTTAGGTAATTAATTAATTTTAAATAAATTAAATAATAAGATAAATAATTTAAAACTGAAGAATAATTTTAAAAAATAAGTTAGTTAATTGATTAAAAAAATAAGTTATATAATATTATGTAATACGTAAAATTAAGTAATATTTTAAAAATTGAGTCAATTAATTTTAAAAATAAGTTACATAATAAGAGAAATCATGTTTAAAATAAGTAATTTTTTAAAATAATTAATTAATTTTAAAAATAAGTTAAATAATAAGAGAAAATATGTTTAAATGAGCTATAAATTGACTTTCATATATTTTTTTAGACAATTTTTTTCCTCGTTACAGCGATTT